CGGCTCGTCCCAGCAGCTGCGGCCCGCGGGCTCCAGGCTCAGCGTCGCATTTGTCCGCGCAGGAGTCCAAGCGGTCCAGCCACCCGGACCGATCGGCTGAGGCCTTGGCAGCCGCGCCCGGCACTTCCAGCCCCATTGGCACAACCTGCTTGTTCGCAGGACAGCGAGAGAGGAGGCTACCATTTTGCTTCTTCAGCTCTCAGTTCTTTGGGAAGAGTTAGAGATCCTCTAGCGGCCGGCTGCCTGCCTGCAGTCTAAGCGTCCCCTGGGCTGAGCTGTGGGCTGGCAGAGTTGGAGAGCTCAGAGCCTGCAAAGCAACAAAAGCAAAAGTAAGAACAGACTTTGACTAAGGCGCCTGTGCGTAAGACTCCGTTATATCCGGAACCCCCTTCCTAGTACTGTTTTTCAGGTGCTCTTTGCCCCATGAAGAGTGGGCTGGCCCAAGGCTCGCTCTTAAAAGTCCTCTCACCCAGCGGGACCTCCAGTCGCCAAATTCCTAAGGTTGCAGACTCAAGAATGCAAGATTGCAATTGAGTTTCATCACGTTGTGGGGGAATGGACACTTGTTACTAATCTTAGTACTGTTCTTTCAAAAATGTGCACCGTGATGTTTTGTTTTGTGCAGTCTGCACGTGCTTAGCCTACATGTAAGTCCCATGACCAGTGGACTTCATGTTTCATGGGTTGTTTGACCCTTTACCTGGATTCCGTACATGTGTAAAAATAACCCAATGATGTCATGGTTATTTTTCTTTTTACACTGTGCTCTCATATTGGCCCTCTAGGCAAACATTACTTCCTACTCATCGTGGACTTTACACATTTCCCAATTGTTTCATAAGCTATCATTTCCAACCAAAGATGGACTTTTCTTCTTCCAAGGCTTTGAACCTTAATAACAAGGATAATTGCACATCTTTGTTCTTGCAGAAACCTGCAACTGTATAAGCTGTACTTGTCTCTGCTCCCAAGAAGACTACTGTGTTAGTCTTTGTCAATTTGACCCAAACTAGAAACACGTTGGAACAGGGAACCTTGGTTGAGGGATTACCTCCATCATATGGTCTGATATGACACTGATGATTGACGTGAGAGGGTCCAGCCCACTGGGGCCGGCTCCAGCCTGGGCAGATTGTCCTGAGTTTTATAAGAAAGCTGGCAGGGAAGTGGAGAGTTAGCTCAGTGATTAAGAGGACTGGTTGTCCTTCCAAAGGATCGGGGTTCGATTCCCACACCTATACGGCAGGTCACAGCTGTGTGTAAGTCCAGCTGCAGGTGATATGTGACATATACATACAGGCAAAACACCCATACACATAAAACAAAATAAAATTTTAAAAAAGGAAGAAAGAGAGTTGGCTGAGTATGAGCAGAAGGAAAGCAAGGCAGGTCCTCAGTGGTTCTTGCTTCCAGGTTCCTGCCTGAGTTGCGGCCCTGACATCCGGAAGTGACTGACAGATAAACTTCCTCCTCTAGTTGGTTTTGGTCAGAGTTTTATCACAGTTATAGAAAAGGTGACCAGGACAACTACTCAAGAAATTTCCCAGGCAAAGCTTTTTACCCAGTTTCAAGTGATCTCACACTGTGCTGGTCAGGAGTCACCAAACTCTAACTTGCCCGGTGTTCTGGAAAATGCCAGGAGTTGCGTATCCAGGTGTTCTGCAGTTGGCTCTTTCTCAGCAGGATGTAAGAGCTCCAGGAGTGGGGGTCAGGGAGGGGGGCATACGAAGCTGTGTACACTTAGAGGGTTTGCTTTTGTTTTTTTGCAATAAGTAACTAGGAAATCTGGTCAGCTGCCAATCAACAAATATGAAAGCATTTCTTAAAGCTCAGTTTACAAAGAAGGAAATTTAATAAGTAGTTGAAGATGCCCCAACCAAACCCACAGTTTCTGTGAACGGACTTGGATTCTGAAGGCTCGTTGCCTGGTGACCACAGTTAGCAGCGAAGCAGCTTTGGAACCTAAGGAACCAAGGAAGGTTCACAAGGCAGAATCTTGCTTCTCTTGAAGACTGTACTGTAGGACGCTGTTCCACTCGGAAGGTAATTTCAAACCACCGCAGCTTTAGCAGGATCTGAAGTCTTCATCAGCGTCAGCTGCATGGGGACAGGGTAGACAGGCAACTGAGAAGACTGAGCTGTGTAGAAGAGACAGCCAGACAACTACAGACCTGCGATTATACAGGTCTCATCTTGCTGGGGCTGGGGTTTGGAAGGCACTAGAGTAGACTGGTTTTTGTTGTTATTGCTTTGGGTTTTTTGTTTTGTTTGGTTTTTGTTTTTCGAGACAGGGTTTCTCTGTATAGCCCTGGCTTTCCTGGAACTCTTTTAGTAGACCAGACTGGCCTTAAACTCGGAGATTGCCTACCTCTGCCTCCTGAGTGCTGGGATTAAAGGCTGGTGATACCACCACCCAGCTGAGCAGACTGTTTTTATGGCACTATAAATGAAACAGACAGCTCTCACCTCAAAGGAATAAAAGAGGTAGTTTATTCTGGAGTCAAATATTAGTAACCATAGCCTGGGAGTTTTGGTTTTTCCAAATACCATGTTCCAATAAGGTAACAATTTCATGATGGTTTTGTAGAAAGAAAAGGCCATAAATCCAGAAACTTGTCAAATATATTGGTATAAACATAAGATAGGTGGGTTACAGCAATACTAGCTGCTAACACTCAGCCTTTAGATTGGTGAAAACTAGTAGTCTGCCGAATTAATACATTTCACAGGGTTTCACCCAGTAGTCACAGATGTGCGATTAGACAGAAAGGTGGGAAAGGAATGGCTATTTAGGGAGCTAAAGAAAGCTCTAGGTAAACTCTGGGCAGACTGCAACCCCCCCAAACTCTCCACGATATTTGAAATTCAGTTAACCTGCCTTGTAGAAGGCTCCGTGGGCTTCCTGTTCACAGCACTTCCCAGTGTATTCTCTGCAGACAGCTGTACAGCCATGTGAATTGTGGTGTGACATGGAAGTCAGGTTCAGAAGGGAGAGGGGAAGGCAGAGAGGCAGTTGGGAAGAAGCCAGGCTAAGAGCCTGGGTTCCTTGAAGCAGGATGGAAAACAGGAAACATGCTCCCAAGAACAGAGGAGCCCCCATTCCAGAGTCCAGTTGAAGCCTCTCACTGAATGAGAAGCAAGAATTACAATAACCGCTTATGGCCTTTCTTCCTTCCCAGCTGTACACCCGCATTTTCCTGCAGATCTCACCAGAAACCCCTCTCACAGGGAAAGGATATGCACTAAAACCCCTTGTGCAGCGCCATGTTGTAACAGAACGTGGCCAGTCAGAGTAGGAGGTTTGTTTGGGAAAGGAAGCTGCAGTGGTCTGAATGAGAATAACCCCCATACACTCATCTGTTTGAATACTTGGTTCCCAGTTGTGGAACTGTTTGGGAAGGATTAGGAGGTGTGGCATTGTGGGGGGACAGGTGTCACTTTGAGAGTTCAAAAGACCCATACTGTCGTGAGCTCTCAGCTGCTAGTCCAGCCAGCATGCCTGCTGTTTGCCATCATGATGCCGCATCATGATGGACTTTTAACCCTCTGAAACCATAAACCCAATGAAATATAAGTTTGCCATAGTCATGATGTCTTACCGAAGCAATGGAAAAGTAACTCGTGCCGGGTGGCACTCAGGAGGCAGAGCCAGGCGGATCTCTGAGTTAGAGGCCAGCCTAGTCTACAGAGAAAGTTCCAGGACAGGCTCCAAAGCTACATAGAGAAACCATGTCTCGAAAAACCAGAAAAAGAAAAAAAAAAAAAAAAGGGAAGAAAAGTAACTCATACAGTAGCTATGACCAATTACCCTTCAGAATACGCTTTATTTGGAGAGTGACTTGGGGCAGATGAGTGGGAATGACATGGTCTTGAAGTGGGAGAGCAGACAGGAAAAATACAGCACTGTAACAGACAGCCCAGTGGAGACTTGGAAAGATCTCTCCCTTCAAAACCCGGAGGGGAGCTGCATTAGGAGAGAGCCTCGTGAAGCGGAGCATTAAGAGAGACAGCAGCCACGTGTGCATGGCAGGAGTCCTGAACGGAGAGAGGGGCCCTTCAGTTCCCAAAGAACAAAGGAAATTCCTTACTTTTATAGGTTTTCAGGGGGTGGCAGGACGGTCCATACCATATCATTTAGTCTGGCTAGCCTATGTGCCAAGGGGCAGGCATTAGGCAGGACCATCTTGAAGCTGTGAGAGGAGGGGGGAGCTGCAAGGTCACAGCACTGCTTGGCTTCTTATCAACTCTGTCCAATAAAGGGAAGAAGGTAGACAGACAGCCAAACACAGAGACAGACAGACAGACAGACATAGTGAGTATGCGCACGCGGGCTGGAGCTTTAAAAATGGACTTATCATGTATTCCTTCCTTTTCAGTCAGCCATCATATCAGATTCTCTGAGAATGCATGACGACTGATGACAATATGATACTCTTTGTGATTACACTGGTACAAAATTCCTTACGACACAGGTTAAATGCATGTCAGGGACACCCTCGGCTACTCTACATGGACAGGAGGGAAACCCATCCTCGTCCTGTTTTTCAAGTTGGTGAGGTAGCTCCGTGGGTAAAGGTGCTAGCCTCCAAGGTTGATGACCTTGGCTCCCACATTACCCAACTTAACCCTCCACGAGTGTACCTTGGCATATGTACCCACCCAATAAAATAAATTATATAACTGTGATTAAAAAAAAAATAAGATGCTCAGAGCCAAAATACTTCCTGACATAGGAGCAAGATCCACACTAATGTGTAAGAATATGAAGAACACTAATAGCAGTCTCCCCCAACAGTTAATTTTCAACTAGCCAGAGCAGGCACTGTTTCAGGAGAAATATCTCCTTGTGACAAGCCTTTACCTTTGCCCTAATTCTTCTAGTCCAACTATTTAAATATCAAATGCCCTTGTGGCCAGGTGGCCTTGTGGTTGTGAAGAAGTGAGACAAACTAATGTTTTCATAAAAATAAAATCCCAGAGGGATATAAAAATAATCCTGTGTGGCTTAATTTAAAGGAAGTTGTCAATTCCGTCCTGTAAGCAAACGGTCTAGATGAAATGACCCCGACAGAAAGAAACCTCACAGGGTCAAGTCTCATTCCTAGAAGATGGTGCCCTGGGGACAGAGAGCATGTGCTACATGCTACAGAGCAAAGGGGGTCATCTGGCCCGCTGGCTCGCTGGAACAATTCAGGACCAACAGGAGTTGGCCAGAGTGACAGATGTGCTTGCCCAGGCAGTGGCCGGACCTGCGGCTGAGTAATCCGGCTGCGACTCGGCCCAGGGCCAGGGTGGCATAGTGCTCCTTGATTTATAAGGTCAAGTATGACAACGCAGCCTGGTCGAGAAAGAGCTGGCGGGCAGGCAGGAATTGAACTGAACCGAGAAGAAGCAGGTCAAGTTATGTCAAGTACAGATGCAATGCCATTTCATGTAGGGGACGAGAGAGCAAGCCGCACTGTGGGGAGGGAGGGAGGGAGGGAGGGAGGGAGGAATGCCCAGAGAACAGCTGGGGGATCCAGCCGGCTTAAGCAGGACAAAGTTACCCCCAACCCCAACCCCTTGCTCTCCGAAGGGTGGGGTCTAGCCTGGGTGGGGTCTAGCCTGGACTGCCTGAGCTCACCCGGCTACCCTACCCGTGCCTCCTAGTAGCTGGGACAACATCAGGTGTGCACTGCTGTACCCAGCTCCTTACAAGCTGTTTAAACAGTGAAATGGAAATATCTGAATTTAAAAAAAGAAAAAGAAAAAATGGAACTGCGAGGTACTGTTGAAAATCCATGATCGCTCATAAGGCCTAGAGGCCTGAGCTTTGTAGACAAACGTGAGAATTTGAAGCAAGAGTCTGATTAAGAAATATTTGGAACGCTGTACTCGTTTTCTTCTTGTTCTCTAAATTCCCAGGACTTCCTTACTCCGCTGTGGGCTTCCAGCTCCTCCTAGTTAGTGCAGAGTACTCACTCTCTCTCTCGGGTGCCTGCAGGTCCTGCTTGTGAACCCGCCGTGCGGACAGGAGGACTGGAAGGGAAACATGACCAGGCCCCACCAGAAAAAGGCTTCCTCCGTCCCGTGCCCCGAGTCACAACTCCCTCGGCTGCGATGGGGCATGATCTTCCTCTACTCAAAATCCGCCGACCAGGGGGGGTGTACCTCCGTCTCCAGAGTGCCACCTCTCTTCCGCTTCAGCCCGCGGTACTGTGAGCATCTCAAGAACCAGTATCTGCAAAGGGCGGCGGCCGACCTCTCCTTCTCTCCGGATGTGAGGTGGCAGCGAGGCCTGCCCAGCATGCCTTTCTATCAGTACAGTTTTAAGCACATCTACGACACGGATGACATCATCCCGCCTCTGCAGGCCAGGAAGACCCACACCGAGAAACCTGGCTACGTCAGGGCCCTGCACACCCCAGCCCGCTTGGCAGGAGGCGCCACCCGTTTTGCCAAGACACAGAGCCCCGCGCGTTCTAAAAAGAAGCTTAAGAAAATAAGAAAGCCGGGAGGCCTGGACCAGAACCCATCTCCCCCACGCCCCCGCTATGTCCGCTTGAAGCCAGATCCACTGGACCTGTCGCCCTCCCCAGATGAGAGTCTGGAGGAAAGGGAGACCTGGCTTCCACCTGGTGAGAAGGAGGCCCGGGGCTGGGAAGCCATCGTGCTGGAGAAGCTGGACAAGCGGACGGCGCGATGGATCCAGAGCAAGCGCCCGCTGAGGCCGGGGCAGTCGCCCAACAAATGGCAGAGCTTCCTGCGCCAGCAGTACGACTGGAGCCACATTCGCGATGAGCTCACGTCCGAGAGCGACCTGGATCTCCTCAAAAAGCTGGAGGCCGAAGAAATAGCGGAATTTGAGGGTGAAAATGTCGCCCCGGCCCACAAAGAAGTCAAGAAGCCGGAGCTGCTGCTTCCCGCCTTCTACAGGTAGGCTGGTCTCAAGCGGGCCTGGCGCGGTCCATGGCTCCCCTTCAGGGACGCCCCGTAGGATCCTTACTTGGTGTTTTCCCTGGCGCTGACGATCACACCCATCCCTTGCCCGTGTTGGGCAAATACACTACCCCCGGCTGCACCCCAGCCCACACCTATACTTCAGAATTCACTTTCCCATCAGCCTCTTGTTCACCATCACCACCTGCTTTCTGAGATCTCCTGGAAGTGAGGTCTCCAAGCCCCCCACACTGCTGACATTCTGGGTTGGCCACTATCCTACCATAAGCGGCTGCCCTGTGCTGTATAGGATGTTAGCAGCATCTCTGGTCTTCACCCAGTAGAAACCAGGAACACTTCTCTGTTGTTACCAAGGATGTCTCAGTTGTTACCACCAAGGATGTCCCAGATACTGCCAGATATCTGTGAAGGACAAGATCATACTCCGTTCGGAGTCACTGTTTTGTTTGTTTGTTTGTTTTGTTTTTTTAGTTTTTCGAGACAGGGTTTCTCTGTGTAGCTTTGCGCCTTTCCGCTTTGGAGACCAGGCTGGCCTCGAACTCACAGAGATCCGCCTGCCTCTGCCTCCGGAGTGCTGGGATTAAAGGCGTGCGCCACCACCGCCCAGCTCGGAGTCACTGTCTTAAAGGGCTCTGTTGTCAGCTTCCAGGAGCTGAGCTCTCAGGCTGATGATCCAGCTCACTTGCGATGTGTCCAGGTTGGCAGTGAGAAGAGCAAAGGGTTCGGGACACTGAGTTTGGTCGGCCTCACTTTGAGCAAGACTCACTGGCACCAAACACAACCAGACTCAGGGCAGAGAACCAAACAATCTGGGAGGAGGAGATGAGCCGACATTTGTCAGATTGCTTCCTTTTCATTCCCAGCTAGAGTGGAGAGAGGAGCTGTTATAATCTCCCTGACATCCAAAAGGAAACAAAAATAAGTGGAAGTATAGTCAGTCAGTCATTGGACAAAAATGAGTTGATTTTTTTTTTGTTGTTGTTGATGCTGGTATTTCAGATAGTCTGTGGAGTGATGGGAATATAGCATAAAAGAACAGATGTACCCACCTAGTGAACAGACAGTAAATTCCCACAGATTCATCGAGGTAACAGAGAAGGCAGATTCGCTTCCCCAAATCCACGCACCTTCTAAGGGAACCAGTGTTAAGAACGATCTGCAGACTGGGCATGATGGCACACGCCTGTGCTCCCAACACTTGGGAGGCAGAGAAACAGGAAGATCACAAGTGTGAGGCCAGCCTGGGGACATACTAAATTCTGGTCTAGCCTGAGCTACATAGCAGGGCCCTTTCTCAGTTTCCCCACCGTACACACAAAAAAGAAAAGGAAAGGTGCTGGAGAGATGGCTCAGAGGTTAAGAGCACTGACTGCTCTTCCAGAGGTCCTGAGTTCAATTTCCAGCAACCACATGGTGGCTCACAACCATCTGTAATGAGATCTGGCGCCCTCTTCTGGCCTGCAGGGATGTGTGCAGACAGAACACTGTATACATAATAAATAAATAAATCTTTAAATGGAAATGGAAAGAGTTGAGCAGGAAGCACAGCTGTCCCTTTCACCATGGTGTCTTCCTGTGACTACAGGGGGCGTGGCTTCATCCGTGGAGGGGAGCAGGGGGCGCTGAAGACAGCCTCTTCCAGGGGTTCCACTTTCAAATGGCCCCACGGAGAGAACGCTGGTCATTAGGCCGTTACCCGGATGTTTCTACGCACAGGCGTGTAAGGGGGCTGGCTACAGTGAGTCATGGACCTCATGGAAAGGGGGGCGTCTTCCACTCTCCCCACCTCCCCCTCTCTCGACCCTGCTAAGGTTGCCTGGACACTCCCCAGAAGTACAGACAGTCGAAATCCTGCCTGGCAACAACATGACGGCCGAGGAGATCCAAGAAGAGAGAAGCAACTTCCAGTCTCCCACTCCGAACCCCTTCCGGCAGGTGAACCCCAGAGCCGGGGAGTTTGCCTACTCGACAGACAACACCTTCGAGCAGGAGATTTATTTTGGTAATGGTGCTGGGCTCCAGGGTGGGAGTAGGGGCCACGGAAGCGAGGGTATCCTGGGACAAGAAGAGGAGTGGGTGGGCGGCGATGAGGGTCTCCGGGTGCATCTCCCAGTGCTGGTGCAGGATTTGGGGCAGGGCAGCAAGCATTTCTTTTGTCTGCCTCTATCTCTCCATCTTACTAAGGAAGATGGGCTGGGAACGTGCATGCGTGCGTGCGTGTTAGAGCTGACTTTAGGAGCACCCTCTTCTTCTCTGTTCACCCTTTCCTCGCTTTTAGATACCCCCTCTACCCCCATTGACCTGCTATGTTTGAAAAAAACAAAACAAACAGGCTTTGGAATCAGGCAGATTTGTTTAAACACAGGCTTGATTCCTTCTTCATAACCTTTAGCCAATTACAGAATTCCCTCGAGCCTAAATATGATACTTGTAAAGCAGTGTCAACAACGTACTTTGTGTGCAGTAGACAAGGAAGCATCGGCAGAGCTGCCCAGTGCTCAGCACACGGAGGGTCTCCGTGACTGCCTGTTACCGCCCTTCCTCCCACCGGGGTAGCCTTCCGACGCCCGGCCTTGCAGAACATGATCTGGTCTTACATGTTCCAAGCTGTCCCTTCTTCATCACCTTGCACTTCCATCTTGCTCCTAAACCGCTACTGGCTGGGTCTTCTTAACTAGCACTGCTTAGAAATTAGTTTCTGCTCTACCAATGGAAAACACTATCTTTGGCTCTCCTAGGTCTTTATAAGGCTTCCCTACACTAGACTACTGGCTGTGGCATTTCTAAGCAACAACCACCCTTTAACAATGACCCAAGGGGTTAGATTAGAGGAAAAGGAGGGACTGGTCACTCATTGCATCTATCCTCATAGACGGAGTGAAGATCGTTCACCAGATTGGTGGGAAGAAAGACCAAATCGTCTTGGAAAACCTCAATCGGTACGACAAGCACCTCTCTAAGATCTTCCCTGAAACCCCAGAAAAGTGGAGTTTACAGCCTGTTCCTGAAGCACGTAAGGAACATGATCAGAAAACTAGCAGTGAGGGAGTATGGAAGTGAGGGCCCCACCAGCACGGAGGACACTCCCTTCCTAACAACTAAAAAACGATCTCATAACTACTGACTGTTGTCGTAAACTACTGACTGCAAGATGGTGGAACTTGCGTCCAGTTGGAACCTGTATTACTGAGGTGTAAATACACGGTCTAGAGTAATTACCAGTAAGACAGGTGCACTCTCAGGGCTTCCACAGGAAGCCCCTCAGACTCCTCGCCCACCTCTGTGTCCCTGGGCTGGCTCCACCTGCCCACTCCACACTCAACTCATCCTTGCCTCAGGCCCCAGGGTCTTTGATTTTTTTTTTTTTTCATTTTTCTTGGTATGTCTCTGTGTGTGATGGTGTGAGTACATGTATGTGTCGGTACCCAAGAGTAGGCATGTGTGTGGAAGCCTGAAGCTAATGTTAGGAGTCTTCCTCAATTCCTATGCCTCTTATATGCCAGGAGCTCTCAGTTGACCCCAGATATCACCGATAGCGTTAGTCTGGCTAACCTGGTTGTTTTGGGGAGCTCTCCTGTCTCAGATTTTCAAGTGCTGGGATTTCAGGCAGGCTGCCATACCTGCCCACCTTTTAGTTGGGTGCTGGAGATTCAAACCCTGCTCCTCATCTTTGCACAGCAAGGGCTTTACCCACTGGGCCATTTCCCCAGCTCTTCTGGTTTTTTAAGAATAACATTCTTCATCTGGTAAGACAGAGGTGACCAAGAAATGAACTTCTAAAACAAAATGTACCCACCTTCTAAGAGACTGTCTCTCTAGTTCCTATGATTCTTTGTACTACCACTAGTCAGATGGGCTCTGGGGCCAAGCATGTAGCTAGGTATATTAGTCACTGTTCTATGTTATGAAGAGACACCATGACCAAGGCTACTCTTATGAAAGAAAGCATTTAACTGGGGGCTTGTGTACAGGTTCAGAGGCTTAGTCCATTACCATCATGGCAGGGAGCCTGGCCATATGCATGGTGCTAATGCAGTAGCTAAGAGCTACACCCTGGTCTGCAGGCTGAAAAGGGATGCACTGCTTTGGGCTTTTGAACCTCAAAGCCCACACCCAGTGACAGACTTCCAACAAGGCCACGCCTACTCTAACAAGGTCACACCTCCTGATCCTTCTAACCCCTTTCAAACAGTGACACTCCCTGGTGACTAAGCCTTCAAATATATGTGCCTATGGGGGGGCCTTCTTATTCACCCCCCCACACGGTGTATCGCACGTGCAAGCCTGTCCCAGTCACCAGTTCCATAGTCAGGCAGTCAGGTGAGACCTGCCTTTTCACCGCACAGCTTATAAGCTCAGGAAAGGAACCCAGCGTTGGATCGCTTTGCCCACCCCGGTCAAGAGCCTCCTGCTGCAGGTGGGTGAGAAGGATGAGCCTGCCAAGACTAGGAGAGTGAAGAAGCCGGTCCAGCCCCTGAAGGAGGACGTGACCTGGGAGCTGGCGGTGCTGCGGAAGATGCTGCAGGAGTGGAAGACTGCCTGGGCACTCAGTAAGTGAAGGGCGGGCCTGAGACAGTAGGTACTCGTGAGCACGTGTTCCCCAGTCTTGAAAAGTACACCCGCCCCTGTCTTGTAAACTGTAAAAGGCTGGTTGCCTCATTAAGGGGTCTGGAGAAGAACCTTTCGATTGCCAGGCACATGTGGTGGCGCACGCCTTTAATCCCATCACTTAGGAGGCAGAGGCAGGCTGATCTCTGTGAGTTCAAGGCCCGCCTGGTCTACAGAGGGAGTTTCAGGACAGCCTGCAAAGCTACACAGAGAAACCCTGTCTTGAAAAACAAACAAGCAAACAAACAAACAAACAAACAAACAAAAAAGCCTTTCAGTCAGCAGGTGTTAAGTGAGCATTATTTTCATCTACACTGGACTCCTTATGCATGGGCAGGTATGTGTGGGAACTTGAGCAATGCGTGGGAACTCACTGTGTTGCAGGCTTTCTGACCAGAGGAACGGGACACCAGGCTTTTGCAGGAAGCAGTTCATTGTGTGCTAGCACTGTCTGTGGGGTTTTCCTCAAACGCAGAGGAACATGCATTCTGGAACCGAGCTTTCTAGACATTCTTTTGGCTTGTCTGTCTCCCATATAGAGTGACTTACTTTTTGAATGGATGGCTACTTTAGATAACTCCACAGTGAAACTTAAAAAAAAGAAGCTGAGGTGGAAAGGGAGGGGAAGGACGGGAAGGATGAGGAATAGTTGACTGCAGGAGAGATGTGGTGGAGCTGTATGTACTACATTCGGGAGCACTGCCAGCCCACATGGCTGTTTCCTATTTCTCTTCTCTTTGGCTCTTGGGGGCCCTATCACAGCCACACTGAGAAAACTTCACAGGCAGAGACCCTGTCTTACCCATGTCTGGAACATGCTGGATCAATTATCATGACAGGAAAGACAAAAGATACTACCCCAGCATAAGATATGCAGCTATCAAAAGACACTGCCATTGAGTAGAACTCGGTTGGGCAAATTAGATTCTCATGAATCTACCTTCCTTCAAAGAACTTTAAGTAGAAGGCTGAATGCCTCCACCAGCTGAGAACCTCACTCCTTGCTCTGTTTTTGTTTTGTTTTTGCGATGGGAGACTTACTATGTTGCCTAGACTGGTCTTGAACTCATCATGGATTCATGGTCTTTGAGACCGCCAGCCCCCAAATAATGACACACAGACTTTTATTAATTACGAAAGCTTGGCCTTTAGCTTAGGCTTGTTCCCAACTAGCTCTTATAACTTAAATTAACCTGCTTTTAATACTCTACATTCTGCCACTTGGCTCTTTACCTCTCCTCTATTCTGTACGTCTGACTCCCTCCATGTCCCACTTGCGAAATTCCCTCTCTGCTTCCCAGAATTCCTCTCTCTCCCTGGAAGTCCCAGCTATTCTCTCCAGCCTAGCTATTGGCCATTCAGCTCTTTACTAAACCAATCAGAAGGCACCTTAAGCAGAGACACATCTTTACAGTGTACAGAAAGATTATACCACAACAGATTCATGATCCTCGTGTTTTAGCCTAAGTAACCGTGTGCCATCATAACCAGCCAACCACTATATTTTATTCAACATTTATTTTCCACGGAAAGTTATTTAAGCAAAAGCAATAGCATATGAGATTGGGGGAAACTACCTGAGAAATGTGTGACTCATCACAGAAATAACTTGTCAAAGAAGCCTTTCTCTGAATTCTTTATTATGAGCTAATGTGTCCCTTGCATTGTCCTAAGGAAAGAGACTTCTTGTCTGCCCATTTATTGTACAATATCTAACCCTCCCCATTTATTGCACCATATCTAACCCTGCCCATTTATTGCATAATACCTAGCCCTAAATAGGCGGTTCTCTCTTCATTTTTCTTCCTATGACATAGTTATTGAATGGCATCATGAGACAGTGGAAAACCTATTGCGGGGCATAGTCAACATGTATGATGACATAAGGATCCAGGCCATCGTCACATGTGCTACCGCTGCTTTGGAAAGGCCTCGGATTGCCACCAACCAGGAGGACCCAGGTGAGAGCTAGGACTCAGCTATTTGGAAACATCTGAATTGAGAGAGAGGCCTTAGAGATTACTTGAGCTCATTTTCAGATGTAGAAATCAGGGCCTAGAGTCTGCGTGGACAGCCAAGCTCATCTCCAGAGAAGAGACTGAAGCCCTGGATTCCAGTTCAGTGCCCTAGCATTAAGCTCTGGCGTATTGAGCATGTCCTCTACCCCAAAGGCTTTTTGTATTACACTCATCACATCTGTTTGCTCAGTGACTTGCAATGAAGTCCACATTTTCACACTTTGAAATCCCTTTTATAATAACAAAAATCCCAACAGCTGGGGGCTGGCGAGATTGTTCAGTGGTTATGGCCACTAGCTGTTTCTACAGAGGACCCAGGTTCTGTTCCCAGCATCCACATGGGTAGCTCATAACCATCTATACTCCTGTTCTTGGGGATCTGATATCCTCTTCTAGCCTCTACTGGTACCAGGCACACATACGCTACCTTCATACATTCAGACAAAATATTCATACAGAGAAAATAAAAATCTTGAAATATTAGGACTGAAGGTGTAACTCAGTGGTGGAGTGTTGGCCTGGAATGAACAAAGTCCTAGGTTTGAGCCTCAGCAAATATAGGTGGGAAGGGAAAAGGGTGAAAAAAATTACATAAGTGAATTTGACAGCTTTTATTTATTAAAAATGAGTTAGGAATTTTCCCATTTTTGCAGATGGTTTGTAATCTTTTGAGGAAAATAATGTCAACATAATTTCTCTTTTCTAGCAGTAACAGGTGAGCAAACTTGCCCTCCACTAGAGTCAAACTATAACCTCCCAATAATGAAATGTCAGGTGGAAACCCCCGCCCACTCCCCTGTACTGCGTGGGCCTTCTTAGAGTCATCTACCTGAAACCTGGGCCAACTTCTCCTTCTCTGGGCTGGAGACATCCCAGGCTCACTCCATCCTCATACTTCTGGTTGGATAGTAACTGCCTGCTTACACTTCTGCTATTCCTGCAGATAAGGTCAGGGACTGGCCTTATCTCTTCCAACTTGTCGGGTTTTTAAAGGTTCATCCACTTATTTCCTATTTATTGACTTCTAGACATGGGCATTCCCCCAGATGTTGCTAGGATCTGGTGGTGCTGGGGCACAAGCCTTTACGCATGAACTAGCATTCTGCCAACTGAGCTACAGCCCCAGCCTCCTCCAGGTTCTCCGTGTTTGGTGCTCCCTCTGCTGGAAGCCTGTGTCCTCACCTGATCAACCTGCCGACTGCCAGCAGACAACACTTCTCTGAGAAGCCTGCCCTCAGGACTTCAACCTCACTCAGTGCCCTCCCAGATGCTTCTACACAGGCTTTCGTTATTGTTATTTTGTCTTATTTCTTTGAGCAACAAACAGATAGCATTATAATCTCATACCAAATCTGCAAAGTCTGTAGCACTTGACGGGTATGTTCTGAGAGATGTGTCATATAATTTCATCATTGTGCAGACATAATGGGAAATACTCATATGAAAAGAGTTCCAGTGTTATAAGAAGACGCATCTTATAGGACCACTGTGATTATGTGACCCATCACTGACTGAAACATCATTGTATGGCACATGACTGTCCATACAAGGACATCTTTGTCCTCTGAATTGTAATCCCTTTCACAGGTCCTACACATCTAGATTTCGATCTTCTTACCCAAAGAAAATAACTTTATTTTTTTAAATACTCAATAGACTTCTATTTGCTCACAATGCAAACAGTTCCATCTACATCCCTTGATTGACTATCCCTTATTTGAAATGCTTAGGACCAGAAAAAACTTGGATTATTTCCAGATTTTGGAATATTTGAATATACATGAATTATCTTGGACATGAGATGAGTCTCAACATGAAAGTTACTTGCATTCCATATTGCTTTATATATGTAGCCTAAAGGTAATTTCATACAACACTGACACTGTGTCACACTTTCACTGAACCTGCCACATGAGGATAGGTGTGGATATCCCACTTGTGGTGTTGCGTCTGTATTTTGGAGCATTCGGAGTATTTCAGATTTTGGATTCGGAGATCAAGAGTCTTAACTAACGTGTTCTAAACAGATGGCATATGGGCCTACAACCTAAGTGAAAAAACAACAACAACAAAACCAGATGGACTGAGTGTGGAAGTATATGCTTACACTTGGGAAGTATAGGCAGAAAGATCAGGAGTTCCAGGTTAGCCTGGGCTGTAAGAGACCCTCGTAAACAAAACAAACTCATAGTACAAAATCTGAGTCGTGGCTCTGGAGTTTCTTGGGATGATACTTGCAGGCAGAGGTAACAACCCTTTTCTCCTTCTGCCTAAGAATTTAAACTTAGCGCCCATCTTCTCTTCTAAGTTTCTGTTTTCTTTTCATTGATAGTGCTGGAGACCGAGTCCAGCACCTTGTGCCTTCAAAGCAGGTGCTCTACAACTGAGTTAAAATGTTTTCCTATGTTTATAGGCAAAAATTCTTGTGACAATAAGCCCCAGATGGTAAATCACATCAGAGCTGGAAAAAACTCTAAGTGAAAGATACCTGACCACCAGTCTACTTTGGGGCTCCCCGGATGCCTCACTGCACACATGCCCCCGATGCCCCTTAGAAGGGTACCGAGGAAGCTGCTGGAGATCCCCCACTTGTGGAATGTAAATTCACCCCGAGTGGATGCTACAGAATGTTTCACAAACCCCAGACAGAGCTTGGAGAGATGGCTCAGTGGTTAAGGGCACTGGCTGTTTTTCCACAGGACCTGGGTTTGATTCCCAACATGGCAGCTCACCACCACCTATAGCTCCAGTCCCAGAGGATCCAAAGCCCTTTCCGGCCTCTGCAGGCACTGCATACACACGGTACACAGACATACATGCAGGCAAAACACCTAAGATAAAAATAAAAGGTTAAGAAAGACATTTGAACAAACTCAAAAAGAACCCCAGATACAAGGAATGCCTGACATCGCCCGCCGCCCCCCCCCCCCCCCCCGACAAGCTTGTGATTCTCCTGTGCTCCTGAAGCACAGTGCTGATAGCAAGTATCAATGTTTGTAGTCACGTCTAAAAGACCCATTGGATCCTGCAGTGATACCTGCTTGTCCACAACTCAACCAGAGTTGAAATACTGAATTAGACAGTAAGTAAATGGGCTGGGTTTGTTGCTATGATGAATGGTGGAGGTTACTATAACTAGCCGGATGGATGTAGCTTTAACTTCAGTACTAGAGACCAGATGATAAGGGATTGGAAACTGGTACATCAGCACCTGAATCCTTTGGACATAAAATCCTGACCATCACAGAGATCAACTGAACTGTGATTTAGTAAGCCACAGATGCAGCAGGGTGGACCTTGGTAAGGATGCAAAGGATTGGTACCCTCTTTTATTGCAGAACCAATTATTCCGGATTTGCCAGAGGTCCTCCTGCCTGCTCTAGAGGCTGTTCTGTCTGACAAGAACCCCAATGTGAGGATGGCAGCAGCAATATGTCAATACGCCATACAGTCACACAATCCCACTGCCCGGGACATCATGCAGACTGCCCTTGTGAAGGGTGAGTAACTCCCTGCTACTTTGGACCTGGGATGTGGAATAGAGGTTACCTCACTATCAGCTTTCCCAGTCTTTTCCTTTTCCAATAATGCTGGGATGTCTGCTGCCTTTGGGTTTGAGTTTCTGTTAAGCACATGGGGACAATAGTTTTTTAAAGTAGTTTCATAAAACAAGTGTCATGAACTAGTACCTGGACTAAGCCTTCACAGATTCATTCTATAAACCATGTCCTAAAATGGATGAAACTGGAGATATTACCTTACCTAAAATAAGCTACATACTAAAAGACAATTACCCAGTTTCCTCCATGTGGAAATATAGAAGAGTGATACCATAGGTTAGGGGTGGGGAGCAGAAAGTGGGTGAAGGCAGGTGGGTTTGATCAATGCAGTGCTGTATGCATGCACTGGAACAGCACCCCATTAATAATACAGTTAATACATGCTAGCCAATAATTGTAACGCTAGACTTCTAGCTCAATGGCAGTATGATTGCCCAGCACACTAAGACCCAGAATTCCCCCCACCCCCAAAAAAGGCCAGGTGGTGGTGGCACATGCCTTTAATCCCAGCACTCAGGAGGCAGAGGCAGACAGATCTCTGTGAGTTCGAAGCCAGCCTGGACTACAGAGTGAGTTCCAGGAAAGGCGCAAAGCTACACTGAGAAACTCTGTCTCGTAAAACAAAACAAACAAACAAAAAAGACCCAGAATTTGATCCCTAGTACCAAAAAATAAATACAATGGCCTCTTACATAACATTTTATTATTGAAAAGATAACAATAGCTAAGTACATTTTGAAAGTTCTTTTATTTTTTAAATCACCTCCTGAACACATCATGCTTCCAATTTCTGTGCAGTAACACCTAGGCATTATCATGCTGGTGTTAACAAAGCTGTCAGGTGAGTGGCCACTGACCTATCTTGAGATGAGCTGTTCCTTGCCTTAGAATGGGAAAACCGGTTGACTAGTCTGGCCTTGTGTATATGAACAATCCATTGCTTAATACATCTGTTTTAGGAAGGGACTTCCTCCCAGATCCCTCTGGCCTTCCCAGTCTCCATGGAAAGAAACAGCTTCATTTCTTAGCTATATCAGAAGTGTTACCCAAGAAGAGCTTGCAATGTTTCAGTCAAGCCTCGGAGCACACACCTTTAATTCTAGCACTTGAAAGGTAGAGGCAGGGGGATCAGAAGTCAAGGTCAGGACTGGGGCTACAGCTTGGTGGTATAGGGCTTTGCCCCATGTGCCCTGGATTCTATCCCTAGTACTGCCATCCCCCAAAAAGTTCACGATCATCTCCGCTACACGAAGGGTTTAAGGCTAGCCTGGACTAAATGAAATCCTGTCTTCAAAAAATGTTTTTCAGGTTTTTTGTTTTATTTAAAATCTTAACATGTGGTTGAAGTATGGAGGTGGATTTGCAGACTCGATGGGACACTGGAGTGAGATGTCAGGCAGGTAACAGTCGTAGGTACCAACTCAAACGTGGTTCTCTCTGGGAGAAAACATCGTTCTGAACTCATTTTTTTCAACCCACCGGGACAGGTAATAGTGTGGACAGCTGGGCTGCAGCTCAGTGCTTGGCTATGGAAGGCATTGCCACCTACCCAGTGATCAAGAGGATCCTCTACCAGCTCTTTAACAAGAAGAATGAGGCCACTGAGGAACAGGCCTGTAACCTCCTGAGCCATCTCAGTGGAAAGACGGTATGTGTCCACTTCAGAGTGAGAAGGAAATAAGGTTGTGGGGAGGTAATGTCTAGAGTTGGTGCACATAATGAATCAAGAATGCAGGTGGCTGAGAATGCTAAGCACAGGCCAAGTATACCGAGTCTGTGTAAAACTGAATATGGAGAAGTCTCCAGGGGGATGTGAGAAGCTGGCTGAGAAGTTTCTAACAGCATACAGGTTGAGTCATGATGTGCAGCTCTGCTTCTCACAGAAGCTATCACTAAGACCCCCACAACTCTGTTTCTCTTGGATAGAAACTTGAGACTCCACACAGACTGAGGCAGATAAACCACCCCAGGGACTGGAAACTGTCAGAAGGAAGGCCCTTACTTTCTGCTCAGATTATTAGACCTGTGAGGTTTTTTTATGGTTTATAACTCGAGTCAGATAGAAGAGTGCCCCCGTCTCTTAGAAACTCACTCTGTCCCTCAATGGGAACAAGTATTTTGTGATCTTGGGGCATCTACTATGCTGCATGCCATGTTAGGACAGAATTTCTTCAAGATTCTGGTGTACTAAGAGTGAGCAAGACTATCCATAAAAGTCTTCCTCTTCTTCAGACCCTGATCCACACAATGCTTGCTGTGGAGCTGAACAGCAGGCAATGGAGGGACCGCATCGTGGCCTGCCGTGCTTTCTCCCGGATCAGTGGGAAAATCTGCATTGTAAGTCTCCGTCTGTGAGTTCAGAGAGCCTGGCATGCTGGCCTGGAGTCTTCCTGCTTTTTGTTTCTCTCGAGTATCTCATTGCTGCCTCTTATTCAGAACTTGGAGTATCTCTACGTATCATGTACTTCTCTCACTTTGAGCCAGTGCTTCTTGGTGGGGTAGCAATCCACAAACTGTGATGCAGCCCCTGCCAAATACACATACAACCCGCGAGCAGGCGAGCTTATGAACATGATAGTGATCTGACACTATTTCAGTACCAGCAGACACTATAAAAGCATCAGTCAATGATGCAGACCTCCCCACCCTCTGATGAATACTGGTCCTTGATTTGAGCAGGAGACTGAACAGACCCAACAATCCAACTGAACCAGTGCCTGTGTTGACTCCCTCAATATTCAGCACACAGGTACAAAAGCCCAGTCCCTGTTTCCCATAACAATGGCAATGCAATTGAAGCATCAAGACTAACAATACAAATGAACTGATGTGGAGCCCTCGGGTGGCCAGCGAGACGGTCTCCCTGGATGGAAGGGCATGCCAAAGACCTGCATGGAGTACCGGGGGACTCCAGGCTTTTGAACTCAAGAGTAGTGCAAACGAAGCACTTCTCATTTTATTATTAAAGCAAGCAAAAGATGAGGTGTTGTTTACAGTTAGCTCCAGCAAATACAAGTGCCAGGAGGGAGTACGCCTGGTGTTAGGTCTCACCATCTTTGGCCATGTGGAAAGAGCCGATGTTCTTCCCGGGCCTTGCTCTTCCCCCAGAGTTCATGTGGACACGCCAGGGCATTCCCTTCATGCCCTTGCTCTCAAGTGTATCCACTTATAGTTTATACAATTCTTTCTAGAAGGCTACCTGTGGGAAGAACATTCTGCACTCTGTCCCATCCACAGTTCACAGTCAGTTCATAGCTTTCTTACACAGGCTTCCACAACTTAATCCCGAGTGAATAGAAGGTGCTCTCTTGAGACTCTCAGGAGACTGGCATGTACTGAATGTAAGTGGTTGAACAACCTGAAGGTGTGGAACTTGGCTACAATTGAAGAAGTTCTGAGCAAGTGAAACCCGAACCTTTTTTTACTATTACACTCCAGTGAGCTATCCGAGTGCTTAGTGCTTGGTCCTAGTGCTGCCCCATCTTCTTATCACACTGGGTACAGTCAGGACAGCCCATAACACAGCTATTCCTGCTTGTAAGTGGGTGCCTTCCATTCTTAACCCTCACATTTTGTTAAAGGAAACACACCATCTGGTCATTCGGCACAATAACCTGAAGAGGTCTGAGAACACACGTTATCATTTCCTGCTGCTAAAACACTAGGTGTGAACAAGTTAAAGATGATGAGAACTTCATGATAAACTGCAGGAATTTAAAAGGGTACTGTGCCTGAGTTATTTGACTCATTCAGTAAGCAAACAGGTGTTTCGGCTGGGAAACTAGTTTACACATAGTTCCACCATCATCACCCACAACTGCAGTAATGTTTTCCTTTCCAACAAGAGAAAAGTTTCCTGATAGGGTGACCAACTATCCTGGTTTGTACATACATGGACTTGCAGTACTAAACCCAGAAAGTCTCATGCAATCTGGAATGATGAGGTACTCAATACTTTCGAATTTCAAGTCTCTCACACTCACTATGTTGGTGCCAACATGATGCAGAAAGAGACGAGTTTGGGGAACAGTCCTGGGTTCTGTGACCAGGCATAAGCATTTACCAGATTATCCTTGGGCAAGCTAATCAATCAAAGCCTCCATTGTGTCATCTGTATATAGAAATACCATCTGCCCAACCGGATTGAGAGATTAAAGGATAGAGAAAAGCTGGTATCAAGTACAAAATTAATTAGCCAATTATCATACCTGTTGATAGGATATGAAACATAAATTAATCCATCTGATGTGGAATGACTGGAACAAGGAAGTAAGGCAAGCAGCTGCCAAAGCTCTGGGGCAAATGAACCTTGGGAAAGAGGTACATGACATGATCAGGTAAGACCCAGTCACCATGAGCTCAGAAGCTCTTCCTTTCTTAAGAGTGCCTGGGTGGGGTTGGGGGTTTAGCTCAGTGGTAGAGCGCTGGCCTAGCAAGTGCAAGGCCCTGAGTTCGGTCCTCAGCTCTGAGAAAAAAGAAAAAGAAAAAAGAGTACCTGGGTGATCTGGATCCAGCCAGCACGTGCTGAGCTCCCTGTACGATCAGCACTGTGCTAGATCCCACTACAGAAAGTTCAGTCCCTGCAGGGACTACCCCCACGGCTAGCCAAGAAACACTGGATGTCCACTAAGTATTAGACAATCTCTTAGAACACAAACTCAATATACAAATACCTAATTAAAAAAAGAAAAAAATGCCAGGCGGTGGTGGCGCACACCTTTAATCCCAGCACTCAGGAGGCAGAGGCAGGCAGATCTCTGTGAGTTCAAGGCCAGCCTGGGCTACAGAATGAGATCCAAGACAGGCACCAAAACTACACAGAGAAATCCTGTCTCGACAAACACCCCAAAAAAAGAAAAGAAAAGAAAAAAATGGGATACTCAGTGTGGGCTAGAGTAGAAAGGCCAAGTTCCATGGAGATGCAGTCATTCCAGACTGAGAAACTGCCAAAATGAGCACTGTGTTTGTAAGAGGAGATGCAGCTTGACACTTTCAAGACACCTAAATGTCTACCATATGCTCAGTAATAGGAATTCACGAAAATAAGACACCAAGGTCTGAACCCAGTGAAACTTTAATGATTATAAACTGACTAAGAAAAGGTATGTCTATGTAACTGGGCCCACAAAGCTCGAATTCTTTCCTGAGGGCATGGTGGAAGAGAACAGGATACAGAAAAGTTTAAGGGAAATAAAAGCCACTTGTATCTTACAGGATTAAGCTGAGTCAAGGAAATTTCCAGGATCGGATTGAGGCCCTCTCCCTGATCCGTGTGCTCAAGGTCATGACAGCCAAGCTTCTCCCAAGCTTCCTGAACTGCTTCTCTGATGAGTTCATATCAATTCGACAGGCAGCTTGTTCGGCAGCAGGTGCCCTGCAGATCCGTGACAAGATGGTAAGCCAAGGCATGTTGTCATCTTATCTGATGGACCCGAAGAGAGCGCCAGTATCTCTGCTGTGCACGGTACACCCATGATTCTGTGGGAACGTGGGATGAGCAGTCTGGCAGGAAGGTGAAAGGAGACACAGGCCACATCAGTCAGTGAGTGGCATTTAGCCTAACAAGCCCAAACTTCAAGCCAGAGCATGCCACCCTCTCAACTCTGTTCTCATCTCAGTTAACTAGCTTCCTAATACCTGGTTGCTGAGAGGCTTAAGGGTTAATGCAAATGAGTAGAGTTTATACACTCGTTATTAGGGGAAAACTGGACAGAGGTATTCAAAAGAAGTCCAAGTGGAGCATGATGTGATCCTTGCACTTGGAAGATAAGCCAAGAGGCAGAAGGTTCCAGAATTTGAGGTGAGGGGCTGGAGAACTAGCTCAGCAGTTAAGAACACTGACTGCTCTTCCAGAGGACTGGCTCCAATGCCACCTTCTGGCCGCTGAGGGCACTTACTATGTGGTGCATAGACAGACACATGCAGGCAAAACAACCAAACACATTAGAAAGCATCCGAGGTCAACCTAAGCTACACAGTAATACAGTCTCAAAAATGAGTGTGGGTGGGGGAGAGTCTGGGACTAGTGGTGTAGTTCAGTGGTAGAGTATGTAGTTAGTGTATGTATGGCTACAGATCTGTGTGCTGAGAAAAAGACACAAGAGTAGACAATTCGGCTACTTAGTACACAGGCTGATACTTGAGGCTGTAGCCCATTTGTCACTAGCATTGACAGAAGGCTACTTTTCTAGTTAGAGCATCCCTAGAAATAAGTGGGGACCTGTTTCTGGTCTTTTTTTTAAACTTTTATTTTATATGCATTGGTGTTTTGCCTGCAGGTTAGATCTTTGAGTTACAGACAGTCGTTAGCTGCCATGTGGATGCTGGGATTTGAACCCGGGTCCTTTGGGAGAGCAGTCAGTGCCCTTAACCACTGAGCCATCTTTCTAGCTCTTTTTTTTTTTTTTTTAAAGATTTATTTCTTATGTATACAGTATGCCTACGTGTCAGAAGAGGGCACCAGATTTCATTATTGATGGTTGTGAGCCACCATGTGGTTGCTGGGAATTGAACTCAGGACCTCTGGAAGAGCAGTCAGTGCTCTTAACCTCTGAGCCATCTCTCCAGCCCCTTCTGGTCCATTCTTACTCTGGTTCTTCCCACTCAACTTTTCCTTGTCTATTACAGGTGCTTGAATGCCTCCTGAATCTGATGAACAGAGATCCCTACTGGAAAATCAAGGCTTTTGCCATTCGAGGTATTTCAGAAATGACAGCTCCAAACCCTAGACCTGAAATACTCTCTTCATGCTAATAAATACCTAGAAACTTTAGTGAGACAGCCAGAGTGTAGTGGAAGGGACTGTCTTAGCTTCTCAGAAGTCTGGGCTGAGAAAGAAAGAGATTTTCTTTCAAATGTTTAGTTAAAGATCCTAAGTCTAGGTCTATTTAAACTTGTTAAGCAAAGAACAGACTACACAGTCCCCACCAACAGAATTAAGGATGAGTGTCTAGTGGATATCCATTGTTGTATACTTAAGGATGAGTGTCTAGTAGATATCCATTGTTGTATACTTAAGGATGAGTGTCTAGTGGATATCCATTGTTGTATACTTAAGGATGAGTGTCTCTTTCTTAAGAGTGCCTGGGTGGGGTTGGGGGTTTAGCTCAGTGGTAGAGCGCTGGCCTAGCAAGTGCAAGGCCCTGAGTTCGGTCCTCAGCTCT